CATTATCCTCATTATTTGAATAATTGGCCTATTATGTTATCAATATTATTATTATTATTATTAGTGTTATTAATACAAGCGTCATGATATCAATTTATTATAGAGCTGATTTAGGTTGATATATATCCGGTTGTCTCGTGCTAAAACATACAATATTAATACGAATTTCATGGTAGAGATACACTGTAAGTTTCTCTCATCATTTCATTCATAGAAATATAATTAGACAGCTTAATTCTCCTTCTGTAGAGTAAGTACAGAAATATGTAAGTTTATGGGTGAGCAATTTCCAATCAAATCCCTTGCCATGTTGGTCGCATACCTTCAACATTGGCTTGAAATGCAGTGGAGTGAAATCATATAATAATCCGAGTGTTCACAAATAGACACTCGCCGCACTTCGTCGATAGACACGCTTTAGTACACAGCGTTAGTATACATATATACTGTAGAATGCTCAGTTACCTAAAATAAAGGTGTCTTAACTGGAGAAAGTAAAAAATAGAGTTGGAAGTAAATTAATCGTTCTTTTCCTGTAGCCTGTCATTTGTTTTGATAATTCTTAATCATGTATTTGATTGAGTAAGTGATAATCGTCTTCTTCTTCTTTCTGCATTCCTCACATTGGGGACAGCAACTACTTATACTAGACTCACTGCCTGCATATTACTATTATTATTTAATTATAATTTGTTTTATTTATTTTTATATTCATTTAATTTTATTGATAATCAAACATGTGTAACATTGCGTAGGACATTATTTTAGAAAATACTTTTTACTATTAATTTATATATCATTAGTGTCATTCTTATTGTCATTGCTATTATAATAATTATTATTAGTGTTATTATTATTATTATCGTCGTCATCTTCATCACAATCATCATCATCATCATCATCATCATCATTATCATCATTTATTATCATATGATATAACAATAAGCACCACCTGTTCAGATAAAGACACATGTTGAACCCGTCTGAGAATATTTTATTAACGATATTTTTATAACATCATCCCTCACCGTTAACATATTCGTCTCCAAAATTTTAATGTAAAAAGCACACTGAAATATGTACTTTATATATGATTCGTTGATAGGCCCTATGCATAATTACTTCCGGAAGCAACGTTAAGATGGAAGTCATAATAGTGTGAATACACTGAATCATTAGGACCCCCACAACAAAAGGTAACCCACGCTGTCAGGGTCTCGCCACCGCGAATTTTCTCCTTCAATAGATTGTTGTCCTTCACTCAAGACCTTCGTCGACAAAGCTTTTACATAAAAGAACAAAATATAATTGCTGGATACACCACAGGATTACATATTGGTACACAATTACAAATTTCAGACCTGTAGCTGAAATGAATCAGGACAGATAGACATGGTGTTTCGATCTGGCTTCCTCCAAGCGAGAAAACACGTGTTAAAAATACGCCTATGTGAAAACAAAAATTTAAGGGAAAGCATGAGTCTATCGTCCGTAATGTATCTTTGTACAACACCATCTATTTATCAAGTATCACAAATTTCAGTTGCATTATGTTGGAGATTATTATTGTTCTTAGTGTGTGTGTATATCTTTTTCCATCATTTTTAAAATTTAACTTTAATATACATAAGCACATTTAACCAATGTGTAAATTAGTAAATTATAGATGTGAAGATGTGAATAACACAACTTGTCCGTCAACGATATTTGAACATGAGAACTACGACACGAGCTTCTTTTTGCGTTTCAGTCATCTTTGGCCCACTGTTTACTTTATTACAGTCTTCCAGTTCCCATACCTTCTAGTCTTCCCACACTACAGCTTGAGAACAAAAGACTACAGATAATACCTTTGCCAAAGGTGATAATTCTCACGGTAGTAAAAGTACAGAGTAACTTATCGTCGGCAGGTGATTGTCCATGTTTAATTCAAATTGCGAATTTTCTTTTTTAATACCACACCCTCAAATGCTATTCAACTCTATAGTTACATCTACAATGTACTTTTTCTTGATCACATCTTCAGCGAGACAGAGACAACATTCTTCGGAGTATATTATTTATAGGCATTGAACCAGATCAAACGATTTAAGAGCACTCTTTTTCCTAAACAATCATCTAGTTTATTGCAAACGATGGTTTCTATTGGTCGTTTATTTCTAAAACTAATGACACGTGAACACGATAATTGCGCTTTGATAAACCTTTAATGATCGAATTTATGTCAATACAAATCAGCAGTTTGAATCTGGTCATATTTTGTGAGGTTTTCTGGAAATTTCTAGAGTATTTGTTTTATTGTTTTAGGTTAATGGAGTCCAGAAGTAAGTGTTGCCAGAACAGTCCGTCGACAATTTGACTTTTATGAAAGACTTTTTGGAGTATTTTAGTGATCCATTTATTTCTCATAACTTTTGCGACCTTATGGACACAAGAAAATATGTTTGGTCGATGTAACAATATACTCAATCTGTAATTGTTAAAACTGAACAATCATTTTAAAATCTGTTTGTTCGAACCTACTTTTCTCTATTGATCCAACATCGATAACAAAGTATGTCCCAAAATTCTCTTAGATGAATAATCAATTTAAAAGTATGCGTTCTGTATCTTTAGAGATTTGAACGCCCAAGGGTGAATCGCTTGCCGGCGTTTGCCCGTGGAAGCTTAGTGCGCAGCGCGTTCTGGACTGCTTCTCGATATTTTTTTCAATAGTGCAAATAAAAGACTGAGTGTATTAGAGCCTGCAGGGTTTATTCACAATTATATTTCTAATGTACAGTGACATCTGTCAACGCGTGATCAAACTATTAATATGTCTTTTTTTATCAATGGTAAGTAGTGTTTCCGAATAGTTTTCATTAGAATTCAACTTAGTCTGAATCGCTTGCAATTTCCTCTAACATAGATTCCATCTTATTGAACATTTCCTTTGGAGTGTTATAAATTGATTTCTGCTTTGGTATACTTAGCTATTCTTCCTCTTCTTTTATTTGGACTTTTTTATTCAATGTATTAAGCGATAATTTCCTCTAATTGTTTAGCTTGTTAATTCATTAAACCAAAATTATTGATAAATTATAAAATGAAGTTGTTTTGCGTGTAGAGACAATGAAAAAATCTTGGATTTCTGTCATCGCTAATAAACATTTTTTTAGGTTAACTGAGGTTATTAGGTAAAAAGCACACGTATATACTAGTTCAAGAATTATTTTTCTACATGTATAATTTCAGTGTTTTAGAAATATATGTTGTATAATGTATAATCCTATACTATACGGTATTTGGACGGTTAAGAATACGAAATATTTATTAATAATATATATGTATATTATATATATATATATATATGTATATATATAATATACTTAAATAAATATTAATAACAATCCTTGAATAAGAACATAGGTTATAATCATATCAAGCATATACTATATTTGGACAGTTAAGAGTATGAAATATGTATTATTTAAAATAATATATATATATATATATATATATATGTATATATATGTATATGTTATATGTTTATATATAATATACATAAATAAATATTAATAATAATGCTTGAATAAGAATATAGGTTAAAATCATATCAATTTTCACTATTTTCACTGTGTCTTGTAAAAGTTTTTTCAGTAATCTTGACCCAATGGAGTGAAGTTTCACCGTGGTGATTGTGACAATTGCCACAATCCCGGGTTTTAACTTTTTACATAATAATTTTTTATCAAAATAACTCGATTCTCTATGCCTCATATAGCAAATTACATTCAATCAGAAGTGTTGTATCAGTCACTATTGGATGAGAATAATATAAATAGTAAATTATTTTTAAAATTGTGAATAGGCTTAATGATAAAAATAAAATAGGATTGAATTCGGATATATAAAAATAATCGTACAAAAACGAAATGAAAAAAGAAAAAAAAACCCCAATAATATAGTTATTTTAGCGTCCATCAAAGGTTTGTGGCCATTTATTTTCGCTGTGATTGCCATTTTCACTGTCACAGATATGGCTGGTTTGAGAAATGAGACAATGGATAGAAAATATATCATTACTTAGGGAATGAATCGGACATTGTCTATTAACAAAATGAATTTAGTATTTATATCAGCATTATGAATTATGTATTGGTTATACTATCCCATGGTTAAATGAATAATGAGATTTTTTCCTGAAAGAAATAAGTACACAGAACAATTTCTACAAGTTATTAATTATTAACAATGATAAGAAGCTTGGCTTAATATTATTTTCCCCATTTTTCGATGCGGAGATAGACGTTTTCATTTTCTGAACTCAGCATTTGTGACACAAAATACACTAATCAATTACATTTCATAGATTAACACGTGATTAGCACGTGATTATACCTAGCCAATAACGATTCACCTAATTACCTGGATAATACACGGACAATTAGCTGATCCTTGGCCCTTTGAGAGTCGCACTTAAGTGCGTGTTTTATATTCTCAATGGAGTTGAAGTGTTCAGAAGTGTATCTCACACTAAGCACAAAAACAAATTGGATGTGAGTACAATATGGAAAGGGGAAGGGATGAAAGATCACACCCAGAGGCTACTCAGCCAATTTCCATGTTTATGCTAACCATCTGTCAGATGAGCATAACCCACGCAGATCACGATAAAACCACCGTCATTGGCTCTTAGTCTGATATACCCGGGATTGAGCGCTTCTTCCAATATCTGATTATCATAAATGCAATATGAGGTATTTTAGTTAACGAACACATTCAAGTCATAATAATGTATACATTGCGAGGAACATAAAATGAGTATTTTCTAGTGATTTCTATTTGTATCGAGGATTGTAGTGAATCTCAGGTTAACATAACGAATAATGGCATCATTCAAAATTATCTAATGAATTATCCTGACTTCAGACTTAAATATCTCATTTGTAAAACAGCAATTCATTTCGTGTCTTCCGGCTGAATGTCCAAATCACTTTACGTTTAATTTTCTTTTTCAGGTCATGGGGGTGTGAATCAATTGGGTGGCGTGTTCGTCAACGGGCGCCCCCTACCAGACATGGTAAGACAGCGTATTGTCGACCTAGCGCACAGTGGTGTCAGACCATGTGACATCTCAAGACAGCTTCGGGTCTCTCACGGTTGTGTCAGCAAAATATTAGGACGGTAAGTTCAAATCTATTACCGAAGTTTTTAGACTAGCTACCATCACGTTTGATTTTTCTAGTTCTCATTCATTTAAGACCTGTTGAAAAAGTTCTCAGTTCTTAATTGGACGTAATGTTTTACGCACGCGCTCACTTATAGATGTATTGACCAATTAGCAGCTGGAGAGATTGCAGTTTGAATACCAAAACAGATTACTTAACGTAAAGTTAACAGAGAAAAATACATTGTGATGTTTACAATCTAATGGGTAAGATCTTTTTAAAAAGACAGTTTATTCATTGAGGGCGCTTTGTCCATATACCTGCTAAGTCATAAATGTTAACAATACTTAGAAATCGTTGACAATTTATCTATTTTTCGCTTGAATTCATTTCATCGTTCAAACCAATTTATTTTAAATATAATTATTTCATTTTATGAAGTTGCAGTTGCGCTCTATAGGGACTTTCACCGATTAAATTTTATTGTTATGACCCTTGTTCGGGTCAGTGAAAATGTATTAACATAAGCGCGCGAGTATTTCATTGTTTATCATACCTGTATCCGATTAAACGATTACTTATTTATATCACGATTTAAAAATAGAATAATTTTTCTATATATATACATATATATATATATATATATATATATATCAGTAAAAAAACACGTAGCTATGTACTTGTTTAATTCGATTAAAACAACTATTATATATAAATATAAATAAGCATTTTGAGCGACAAGACAGGATCACCAATCTCTACGGCCATATACTTATATATATGCCTAATATATATACATATATATACATATATATATATATACATATATATATTAGTGTTTCTAAAGTCAACATCTTACGTATTTGAGTTTCGTTACTGTTACGTTATATTATATTCTACATATGTTTCGAAACACACGTGGACACGCCTTCTTCATGTATATATATGTATATATATATATACG